TTAAAGCAGCTTAACTTTTTATAACTTTAGATAAAGATCTGGCATCAGTTTGCAAAACTTTTCTTTAAGATTATTTTTGCTATATATTGTATATAGTCTTTTATTTTTTTATAATAAACTTCTTGGCATTATTATTAGTAAAAGTTATACCTATTTTATAATCTGAAAAAACTATTTTAGGATCTTTAAAGTTGAGGTTTTGTTGAATGTAAACTCAAAATTTTATATCATAATATTGAAAAATAAAACTTAGAACTTCAAAAAAGCAAGTATTATTTTTTATTATTATATTAAACAAATTAACTAATTTGAGAACAGGTTCTTAATAAATATATAAAAATAAATCTGCCTATATATATTGTAGTCTAAAAAATTTGCTGGTTATGTAATTTTATTAAAAAAAATAAGTTATAATTTAGTTTAAATTTAGAGTTCTACTAGTAGATTAATGTTTGTTTAAAGAATCATAATTATAGTAAAATTTTATAAAAAAATATTTTTGTTAGTACATAGAAGGCACTTTTATAAACAAAATTTTAAGTTATAAGAATTTTTTTGTTAGTTTAGTTTTTTTGTAATTTTTTGCATTATACAAAAGTTTGAAATATAATTGGCCAATAAAAATTTCTTAACTAGTAATTTAATTACTATTGCTACAGTTGTAATAATTAAAAATTTTTCTATATTACAGATCTAGCACATATTTAAAATTTTTTTTGATTATAGCATTATAGCATTATAGCATTTTGGCAATATAACAATATAGCAATATAGCATTATAGCAGATAATATTTATAGCATTCAGATATAGTATTATAATTGCATTCAAAAAATCCATGCTTAGTTATGCATAATAGTAATCATATAACTATTATTATATAACTAATTGTAGATTTTTGTATATAAAAGTTGATTTATTTAATATGCAATTATATTTACTTTGATTAAATTTTATTACTATGTATGTATTATTTGTATATATGGTTAACATTAAAATTTTTAATAAATAAAATAAAGAATTAATATTTACTACACTATAATTTTGTAGATACTAAAATGTATACTTAACTGTTGCTATATTAGATTTATATATGAATAAAAAAACAGAAAACATTTAATAAAGAATTTTAATTAATTTTAATATATAAACTCATTTACAGAAAATTGTTAGAAAATTAGGTTAGTTATGATAATAATATTATGACATGCTTTAAATATATAGCATACAAGATAATAAATTAAAAAAAAACTAAATAAAAAAATAATTAAAATATTTTAGACTTAAATCTGTAATTTTAAATTTAGTTTCTTTTTTGTGCAATATAGGTCTAATAAAATTGATAGTTTTCTATGATAACTGTTAATGAAAAAAATTATATGTTTGATTTGGCTTTTAAATGTATTAAGCATTTAGATTAATTTTTGCTATATTTATGTTAAAAACTATTTTTATTATTGAAAAAGACTAATATGCACAAAATATATTTAAAAAATATTAGTTTATACAACATACAATTAGTTATTAGTTTTAACCCAATTAAAGCAAAACAAAGAGCTATATAACATTTTTATTTATTAATATAATATCTTTATACTATATTAATTACAATAGTATATAATAACATACTTGAAATAAGTTAATTAAAATTAATTAGATTTATTCTTGACAATATTTTGTACTAAATTATATATATTTTGTAATTTTTTTTTTTGGTTGCATTTTATACAAATCTTTATTTTCTTTATGTATTAACTATTTGCTTATTATCATTTTTCTTCTTTGTACTGATGTTACTTAAATAGAAATTTTTGTGCCATCTTGAACTGTTACAGAATTATTTGTATATTAGTAGACAAAAGAAACTAGCCTATTTTCTGAAAAAGTTTTTGCAATATAGTATCATTTCTAAAACTTTTTAAAAGCTAAAAGCAATTGCATATTTTGTTTAATATTATTTTTTATTTTGTAAAAAAAGTTAATTACTAATTCAATATGATCTAACTCTTTATTGCTATTAAAATCTTATATAGAACTAATATAATATAACTTTTCACTACTATTAAAATCTTGTAAAAAACCAATAAGATCTAACTTTTTACTATTATTAGAATCTTGTATAAATCTGTAAAAAAAAATTAGTAAAAGTAATAATGATAATATTTCAAAATATATGCATATATATCTAGTTATATTATTTACAATAGCTTTAATAGTTGATATAAGTTTTTTAGTTTCTGACTAATAAACTATATTATTTTTTGATATTATGCATATTTGTAAATATAAAGAGGCATAAAATAATCTTTCTTGAACTACTTATTCTAAATATTAAACAATATATAAAAATTTATTAATATTAATATTTAAATAGTAATAATATAGTATATTAAAATGTATCAGTTGTGATATAAAAATAATTTATTCAATTATTAATTGTAAATGTATCTATAAGATTAGATGTTTCTTCTTGAACTTTATAGTAACAGAAGCTTGGTATTTATAAAAAGCTCTTGAAATACCAACAAAGTAAGAACAACTTTCAATAGTTGGATCAACTATATACATTTGACCAATTATTGTAGTACTAGATACATTGAATGTAATACTATATTCTTTATACTGAATATCTTCAAAATTAAGACCTTCCTAATTATAACATAAAAATTTTTTTATAATATGTATTCTTTTAGAATGCTAATTTGAAATAGATAAAAGATGATGTTCATAAAAGCATTCTAGATTATTAGTTATAAAATAAAAAATTTGTACTATATTATAAATCTGTATTTATTTAAAAACAATGTCTTTTAATAGTTTAAAACTTTTTTTTACATAATTATTAATGTTGTTTTTATGTGTTAATAAACCAATACAGAAAAAAAATGTCTATTCTTGATGTCTATTTTAGAAGTAAGTAATATAAGTAACAAGATTCAGATATTTTGTAAAATAATGTTGTTATATAGTTTTAAATAATTCTTTTAATTTTGTTTTTGTTGATGTATATACTATAGATTTTATACATTCTATTATTAATAAATAATAATTTTTATTAATATGATAATTAGTATTTTACAATCATTTTCAAAATATTTGAATATATGAAAAATGTAAAGAAAAATTTTTGCTTGATTCTAACAATATTTAAGTGCATTTTTTTTGTATAACAATCATTTATAATAATTATATATAGTTCAAGTTCTAATTCTCTATTATAAAATACCTTATTAGATAATATTATTTTTAGAAGATTAAATGTAAATTTTAAAGTTTCTTCTAATTCATCAGATGATAAATTATTTCCAAGAGTAATTTATTAGTAGCATAACTTGTATACAATAAAGTTATAAATGTATTTAATAAATTAAAAAATGATAAAATATCTATTTAGTATAGTTCTCTAGCTTGAAAGATATTTTTATAAATTCTTTGCATTAAATTTGTAATAATATATAAAATAAAAGATTGTCTTTTATTTTTATAAAATGCTAAAAAATAATCTTTTTATATCTTAATTTGTTTTTTTTTATTTTTGTTAAGATTGTTAGTTATTGGTAACTACTGCCTTTATTGTAAATTCAATTATAGTTATATAATTTGTATAAGATGACTCTTATATTATACTAGTAAATAGTATACAAGGTTTTATATATTGAAGTATTATCTAACCTAATCCTGACCTCTCTGTCTGTATATCTATTAAGTTATTACATATTTTAGAGTATATTACCTAACTATAAAGTTTCAGAAGACCTTCCTGCTAACTAACTACTCATATTTAATCTTTGTTAACAGAGCTCACTTTTGTAAAGTTCACCCAGATCTTAATACTAACTTTATAGCATATTTTTAGTACTTAGTTATACTCTACTTTGGTTCTTAGACTCTTAATTCAGATAGTCTAGAAGAACTATAACCTATTTCTAATATTTCAAAGATCTGCTTTTCAAGATTCTTTTTCTCTAGTTCAAGACTTCTAGTAATCTGGTTAATAGTACTTCTTATCTGAAGTTTTTGCTTATTTGATTTCTTTTATATTAGTATTTATTTTCTAGGTCTAGTTTTTATAGTAATACTATCAAATATCCATGCTACTTCTCTACTTAGATCTTTCTAAATAGGCTTTGGCTTTCTAATTCTATAGATTTACATAGCTATAAGGACTTATCTTGAGTTTGCACTACTCAATACCAGTTTGCATTTTTCTATGTAACTCTAACATTGCACAGATGTCCTATAACTTGTCAGTCATGCTAATGTAACTATAGTTACAGGTATCTTATCCTAACTAATTAACAGAATATCATTACTATAATACTACCTATGTATTATATAAGAGATTATCCAAATTTTTGCTGTCAGTAAGTTTTGAACTTACTACCTACTACTTGAGGAGTTAACAACTTATTCACTTTACTAAGTCACTATACTCTTATCTTAATTTTTTATAATTTTCAATTTTATTATTAAAATGCTTAAACATATCAATTCCATTTTGTATCCCAAGTTAAAATAAATAGAATATTTATAAAGATATGCAATATATCTACTATCAGGATTTATTAAATGATCTGTTAGAATAGTTGCCAATTTAATTTTATTATTAGCTAATAAATACAATTTTTCTCATATTCATAATATGCAGTTGATGTAATATGTTTACATTAAAATAGTTGTAAATATTTTTCTTTTGTTTGTGCATTAACAAGACAAAACTTAATAATATTGTTGATTTGGGAACAGGATTATACTTAAAATGAAGAGATACTTCAAGAAGATATGATTTTTTTAAATTATGTTTCTTTATATGAAATCTGATTGTTGCAAAGCAACTAGTATCTTTTAAATGCTTACTATGTGCCTCTTAACTTCAATATCCTTTTCTTGTTTAATTTTTAACTAAATGACTATGTATGCAGTACCATGTTTTATGAAATATAACCTGTTGATCTTTAAGAATATGACCTCTTGTTCTATGCATCATTGGCTTGGTTTTTTCTTAACAATCCTCAAACCACACATGTGCATTTTTAACAGAATTAATATTCACAAAAAATAAACCAACAATTTGATTTATTTTAATATTTTCATCTGTAATTAATGGGTCAAGTTCATGCAATTCATTTACTATAAATAAATAGTTTATAGGTAGAATCTCAACAATTTGTTCTGTAAGCGCAATTCCTAAAATAGGCTATAAATTTTGAAAAATAATATAATTAACAAAACTTTCTAAACAGTTGATATAAATTTAAGATTACCTCTTTCATATCGACATGAAATTTATTTGCAACAGCTTGTTATCATCTAGAGCTTTCACCTCAACAATGGTTCAAGATTCAAAGTATTTTGTTTAAGAAATCATTATATATATATACTAAATTAGCTGCTATTAACTTTGATTTGAAACATTACATTATTAGTTAAGAACTCCGACTGATACATGATACTATATAGTGATAGTCAAGTGACTCAACTTATAGTATTACTGCAAGACTTTAAAAGTACAAGAATTTTTTCTTATTCCAATAAATTTAAAGGAAGTATGATAACTAATAAAACCTCTATCATAGGATTCTATATGCAAAACTTTTCTTTAGATAAGTAATCCTAATTTTTTAACTCGGTCTTTTTGTACTACGTTTTAGACAACCACTCTTTTAGGTAATAAATAAAAATGATAAATAAACCTCGAACTAAACTAAAAGAAAAACCTGTAAATGAAAACTTAAATCGTTAGTAGTACATACGTACATACTGGGCTTCTAAATAGATATTATATATTTTTTTACGATCATTATTCTGGTATGCAAATAAATTCAAAATATTACTGAAATAATTAGAACACTAACTATAATCTGCTCTAATTACACAAGTTCTGAATTATCACTATTTTCGAATTAGTCTGATAAGCGAATTTTGTGAATTCCACGAATCCTGCATTTTACCATTAGTTTAATAATGGTCACAAAATTCACTTATCGCACTAATTTGAAAATAGCAATAAAATTTAATATAGTGAAAATTTAATTTTGATCTTGTAACTTTTTCCTTGGTGTACTCATATCATTTTTAAAAAATTTTTAAAGTATTATATTCGTTTATAAAACACCCTCTTAATAAAGTAGCAGTCGCCTTATGAAATAGATTGGGTATAAAACCAAATATGAGTGCCACTGAAGTAAAATTTACTTTTAGTTTTTGAACTTTATTGTTTATCGGATTTTTTTCTCATGAATTTAATCAACAAAGTATGATTGTTCTATCAATTTCGTATTATTAGTCTGCTGAGCTATAAATTTAAAAAGCTGAACGCAAGCTTAAGTCTAAAGATTATTCCTTTATTCTGTACTTCCTTAATTCTTCAATTCATTCACAATGATATTTTATTCTTAATAGTGCAGATGTCTTATGAATTACATATTTGAAGCAATGATTTCATCGTAACTATTTTTCTCCTAACAATTACAATTACTATATCTAAAGCTAGGTAATTTTTTGAATTGATTACTTATCGATTCGTAAATTAAAAAACTACGTGATACACATAAAATACTACAAGGCTTTAGACGATCTCTTTATCCATAAATAAAGGTCACGTATGTATAAAGATTAATATCATACATGAATATTAGTACGTATACACACATATATAAATAAACAAAATTTTCTTAGTAAATTTTTAACAATTCTTAACGTTAACCATATGTACTGTACAGTACATACGTAGCAGTAAATATGATCAATCAACTTTTATGTACAAAGATCTACAGTTAGTTACATAATAATAGTTACACGATCGAATGCAATAAACCACTTGATCTGCATTTCTAACACCCATTTTTGGCGATGTTCCGACTGTAAAGCAACAAAATTCAGCAAATTTCCAAATCACAAAATTTCACTAATACAAATGTAGCCACGTACTAAGTAAAGCTGCCCAGATGATAATATTGCTGTAGTATATTTGACTGGTATTATTGCTTAATGCAGGCCTAGCTCCGGGCCTATTCCGACCGAAACTTTTGGTCGATCTGCTGAATTTTTGTGGCTCCACTAATCTATCCAAATGTTTCAGTATATTGTTGAACCATTAATTGACAATTTCGGTATCTCAATGAATTCAAAAATATAGAATATAAGTTATCGGTACAGAAATTAATAATTGAATGTAAAAAATTGGTTATAAAAAAATCTGCCAGGTTTCTTTAAATTTTGCTTATAAAACTGCTTTCACGTTCGCAATTTAGTATGAATCTTGTTTTAAGTTTAAGCCTCTTCCAAATCTATCCTTAAATTTAGTTTAATGCAGGACATGTCGATCAATCTAGGGTCTAGGCCGCATGATCGGTAAATTTTTTATTTAGCAGTTAAAGTATTTCCTTACTTAGAATTGTCGACATAACAATGGGAGGTAAATAAATTATATAAATATTTTTGCATCTATAATCTACGATAAAAAATTGATACATTTTTGGTTCACAAACGTAAATAATTTATCATATCACATACGTTACTATTTCCAGATGATATTAATCAACTTGGTTTCGTACTGTGATATTTGAGCGTGTCATTTTACTAAATTTGCTTTACTAAACTTGAGATAAATTCAATATTAAACAACAATGCGTCCGTTACATTTATACTATCAAGAATTTTGGGACTAAAATTCTGTTAATAGATTAATTTCATATCTTAAGCGCTTATGTATATTGAGATTTTCAGAGCTATAAAGTGCGACAATGTCGCCCTTATAGTGTTACACGATGTGGGTAAAAAAAAAATTCCGGAGCTAATTTATATTTCCTTTTTCAGAAATCCATTACTTTTGCAATACCCGATACGTATAAAATAGTATGCTGCTAAATATAGTCTATAAGAACATCTTAAAATGATATAAAATCTCCGGAGTATACATAATTTTTGCGTACTCTAGCATGAAATAGAAAGTTCAGAATAGAATCTATTTTTTTCTTTTTAGCATAATAAAATAAAATAGTGTATAATAATTGTTTAAAAATGAACTGTTGATTATATTTAATACTTGTAACGTATTACATGAAAATTCGGTAGGGTTTAACCTAGTCTAAAAAAAGAAATATCAATGATGCTAAAGTTGACTACGTAGAATGTTTCAAGATTAAATTTATAGGGTATTTTTGTTTATCTGCCAATGCCGAAATTTTGGTATCCTAAAATAGCAAGTAAATTACTGTATTTGCGTTAAATAACGCCCCGGGCGTTATTTTGAGACACGATTTCTGGACAATCCCGAGAGCTAAGAATTAGTTTAAACAAAGTTTCTTGAAAAATAAAACTTATTGTTATATTATTTCTTATCTCTATAGAAATTGTGTGCCTTAAAATAATACCCGAGATGTTATCTCGCAGCCAAAGTGCGAACCAAAAATTGGAAATTGAAAATCGTGCTTATTGATGCATTTTTATTATTAAATAAATTGACATTTACATCTTTATAAAGTTGACTATCTATAAAACTTATAAGTTATAATTTTATTTACATGCTATCTTCAACTTTGTTGAAAGTTTCATTAACTTAGGCTGATATTTCAGTAATTGAATTTATCGAATCATACTTTCAAGAAGTAGAATATATACTTTTGTTCCTGAATCTGATACATATGAATATTTTTAAAATAAATAAGCAAAAATTAAAAAAATTTCTGTTAAATAATCTAACTTAAAATCTTGGCTTTAGTATTTTCACAAACAATGTAAATGGCGGGATAAAAAACCGAGTTCTTGCATTCTACCAATGTTAAAAACCTATAATGTGTTCCGGGTATAATACATATTTAAAAGTTTATATCATTAAAAGAAAAATTTTAAATAGCATTCATATTTTTCATTTCTAACAGGCAGTTTAAAATATTTGAAAAATAAACTGCATTTGATCGTTGTAAATTTTGCAAGTTGCACCCACGTATACTACATTGGGGATCTATTATTGTGGAAGATGTTTATTATATATTTAGGCCGTTCGAAGTTAATTCTTCGGCTGAAAGCACCCCAAAAAATGAACAACCAATCAAAACGCTGGATAACACTCTAACCAATCACATTATTTTGTTGGCTCATATTTGTTCATTTTAAATGTTCGCTTCATTTTGCACCCTCCCAAGAGTTCTAAAAGCGATGTTAACCGAAAATTCAACTGCAAGAGGCCTTATGGTAATATCCAGGCATTAATAAATGAGGTACATACTATTTTTTTTGTAAAATATGTGACAATTTTGTTTTCTGCAAATTCGATGTTATATAATTTATGAAAATTTGATTGAATCGGAGTTTAATTCCTCTACAAATATACCACATTAATAAAAGCGCAGTGATAAAGCATAAAGATCTGTTAGATATAGATGAAATCTGAAACACAAAATTCGGGGTGTATGAACACTCAAAGTTTGACCATTCCCTGTTAGGCCATCCATTTCTTTCAGATAATATATATAAAGTCAGTTGTTTTTCTTTGCCTTCTTTATCATACTTGAAAGAATAAAAGCATTTAAATTATCAGAAACTATTAACAAAAAAAAAAATATATTCAAAACAATTATATTTGAATTTTAAAAATTTTATCTGCCAAACAATCATGGGCAAGGCTCTTTCTGTCGCGCGTTCCACCATTGAAAATGAAAAGCGTGAAGAAATGGAAAAATCTCTTAGAATGCTAGATTTTATGGAAACTATGTTAAAATCCAAAATGGAAAGTTTTACGAATTCACTAAAACATCCATCTGACGATACGCATCAGGTACTTCTTGGAACTATTGTAGACCAGGTCACTGAATACACTTTAAATGCCACTGAAACTAGTGCCTCAGAAGTAGGTATTTCTTTATTCATCAGTTTTTTCTAATCTTTTCTAATCTTAAGGACTTGTTCGTTTTTCAAGGTTGTTAATAGAGTAATCGATCACTTCTTAAGCAAAGACATTATATCAGGATTTAAAGAAGTGATTACATACGCGGTACACGCCATCCTTAATAATGAAACCATTGGAGAAAGCTACCGTCAAGAATATTACTTATTGATTGAACATAATGCGCTAGTTCGGATTGATATCCTATTCTACAAATACGAGTTCGGTTCTAATGGAATTACTGATCAACTTCAGAATATATTTTGTTATATGTTTTATAAGAGCGTAATTCCAACAAAAAAAGTTGACCACAACTTATTAATATACACTATATCTAAGTACATTAATAATACCAGCGAACATCAACCTCACAATGAGACTATTAAAAAGTATATCAAAGAATGGAAGGATTTTCGTAAGGACTTGGAAGCTGATGATAATGATAAAGAGGATACTAAATCCGATAATAATAATAAACAGGATACTAAATCAATTGACTCTAAAAGCAATTGATTCTTATTTTGCTATCAATGTATTATTTCTAGACGATTCTCCAATAATATCATATATACTTATTATACTTATTACTATTAGAAAAGTTTATTATTTCATCATTTTCACATATTTATTTTCTTACATATATATCCTACAATAAATTAATGGAATAACCATTTTTTATTAATAAAGTATATTAAAAATGGAAATTTATGCTCTATATAGAATTTTTTAATTTCATCGATAATCTTTATTTGTTGCCTATTCAAAGTTTATTAATTACGCTCTCTAAAAATGATTTTTTTAAACAAAAATTATAAAGAAATCTTCTAATTTAAAGTTACTTTTTATATGTAAATCTATATTTTACATATAAAAAAATTAGGGCAGCTTTTTTCAATTAGGCTATATAAATTTATATAATTGGTTTTCATATCCCGCCTGCATGGAATCGGAAAATTTTTTTTATATAGTCAACCAATAAAAATTCTCCGTTCGATAATCATGTAATAAAGTAATAGGGTAACGTTCATCTAATTGGCTAATTTACGTAGATCATATTCAGTATGTGAAGAAATTACAGAATTATCAACGAAGCTATTCTTTATTATTTTACGACCTTTATTAGAACTCATACAGGAGGATCCCAAAAATTCCGGGTCTGAATACTTCGGATTTAGCCCGGCATTTGGTTAGCATTTAGTAATACAAGTTAACCATTTCTGGGCCAAAATTATCAGCTGGGCAGCTTTACTTAATGAGTGAGCT